CCATGATTTTTTACGCTTTTTTCTTCAGTACTGGATCACGTGTTATATAGCTCCATGACTTGTCATTCTTAAAAGCGGGCTCAGCCTTTGAAGGCTAAGCCAAAGCAGGCATGGCTGCTAGGTGGGCGGGGCGGTCTCCCATTCACAAGCGGGTGGCCCCATCCTCTCGTACTTTTGAGCTGCGAAATTAGTACATCCTCCACCCTTGTCGACAAAGCTGATATCTAAGGAGGGCGTAGGAACATCAAATGAACGCGGGCGCTGCCTTTAAGTAGCGCACCCCGAATGGTATTACTAGATCGCTCTAATCGAGAAGTATGAACCCGATGTGAAAATGCTCGGCGCATCCGTGGCCTGCTCCTGAGTGAGCAGAGCTTGAATTAGAATCGAATCACAAATTTTCCCGTCGTTCATTTGTGGTATTTCAGAGCATGATGCAGGGTGCGATGATCGTTGTCGAAGATATAGTGTTCATACTAGGGCCGATCTATGCCGCGTAAGTGCCGGTTTCTTTCCTATAAGCATTCCCTTGAGTGAACTCTCAACTTTCAGGTCGCTCTTCACTTACGCAGGACAATCCGTGCTGTGGCTAATTAATGGCGTGGTAGTTACCGGAGGAATACTGCTATGGTTGGGATTCTTCTCAAAACTGAAGCGATATATTTAATTTACCTACGATGCGCTCACGTGCAGTTCATACGAAGACATTCCTCCTGTGCAACTCTGTTGTTTATGTGATAACATCTGTGAGAGATGCATTAATCCGGGTATTCCAATCATCCAGTAGACTGAACTACAACCGTAATAAAGGCAACAATTCTGCAGTTGTGAAATGGTTCGCCAAGCGCACCGGCAGTGTACAGTCATGATCCCTGCAAACGACAGAGCGACGCGGCGCGTATTGTATGTAGCGCTGCCAGGGCGGCCTTGCTCCAGGACGTCATCCTGAGTCCGCTAAAATTGGTGGGAAATCTGTCCTGGGTGCGCTTCACCATGCCCCTTTCCGGCGCCCTATCAATTGCAGGGATTATGACTGTACAATCAGCACACTCGACGAGCAAGTTTCTGATGCGCGTGACACATTTGCGCGGCCTAAGTATGTACTAGGAGTCATAAGGCGGATATGCATGATATTTGATGTAAATTACTGTTTTTGCATCGCATGGTGCGACTTGTTTATATTGCCCTTCTTTAAATTCATTCACACTGGTACTTTTCTCACTCATGTACTATACGTTCTCAACTAATCGTCGCTTGGTTCTGTTATGTATACCATAGATCATACTATCGAAAATATACCTTCGCTTACTACTCACGAAACTTTGCGCAAGCCGGTAATGCATTTAAGCAGTCTCGCTGACCATGCAGCACACGCTCATCACTCCATGGCCATACCCGTATTCGTTGTGCGCAACCCATGGGCAGGGGGTTGCTACTTGGACCTGGCGAGGGGGAGCGGGTCGTAAACGCAGGGTCGGCTGATGCTGTCATCGCTATTTGATGCGAGCGCGGAAAAACGCCGGCAGAGGAACCGCGGCGGAGTGTTGGAATAATGCAATAAAAATTAAAACAACTGGTTTAGCTATATCAATTAGTTAGCATGAACTCGTTGATACGTTAGCAATAATGTGAACCAATAACATCTTCAAACAATTCGTGCGCTGCGGCGACCTCTCTGAAGAAACGTCTGGCTTCATGGATTGCAAAATACCTAAATCAGAAACTTACCCTTGTCCACACTAGAAACCTATGCACGCTCGGATCAAATCGGATACATGATTAACCCAAATTATGTTTTGCCAGGTTTAAATATTGTGGTCCTGTGGAAGCCGGCCTATTGCGAAGTTCACTGGGGAATCTTCCAGTGGCAGAGAGGGACTCCAGCTTTTTGGACGGCCTCGGAATGTCGCCAAGGGTGACTCATCTGAAATGTCGTCTAACAGCGGGTCTTCAGGAGCCACGCAGAGCTCTTTTGGAAAGAGCATTCGTTCTTTTTTTCTCAAGAAGTTATTTTCGTCTGACGCATTGAAACCCGCTCACGATTTACCACTAACGCGTCCGTAACCCATCGAAAATATTGTACGAACGGGGAGATTCAGATCGCGAGTAGGTAGAAAAGCAACAAGAGATATTGCTTCAACATGCAGCCTTCCGTTCCTAAAGCCCCACACCTGAAAAAGCTATCACGCCTAGAAAGAGCCCCTCAATTTTCACCTTGCCAACAGATCTGCTAAACTGCTAAATCGCGCGAAACCATAAGCCGCAAGCGCTTGCGAGTCGTTGCGTATCTAACCCTTCTCATCAGAGCAAACAATTAGAGCCGGAAGGGGGTGGGGGAGGGGTAGTAGCAGGATCCTTCTCCGGGGGTAGTACGGACACCGCCATTTCTCACATCACGACGCTATACCTGCGCTCATTTCACTGTGAACCGTATAGAACTGGTCACTGACAGAAGTACTTGTATCGACGCTTGACATTTGGCATGACTTTTGTTTTTGAGTTGCTAACTCCTCCCCTTCCTTCGATTACTAGCCCTATAATTATTACTAAGACTGTCGATAATTTGGTACTTAGCCTCAAATGCTAGCAGGGTGAAGAAAATGACGAAAAAAAACGAAGTGAAACGGTCAAAAACCTGCGAAGAAAAGCCTTCGTTCTTAATGACTCAAAAAGCAATTTCGGACGAGTTTCCCGTAGGCATCTTGCCAATAACCGCTACGGTACGTACTCATATATCTCTGAGGCACTGACGCTCCTTCATGTAAGTTCCTTCGCTTCATCTTTTACCTAGCAAATGAAGCGATACGAGCATCAGGTACGGTCGTCCATTTGTGGCGGGCGGGCGCGTGGGCGTCAGGGTCGGTATATTGCAGCTTCTTTTTCTTCTTATTCTTCAGCGTTTGTCCCACTCTCTCGCATTGTCCACTTTTCTGATTTTGCTGCGCCATTTCTCCCAGTTGAATGCCCGACTAGGGTAGGAACAAACTATCTTCAAACCCGCGTTAAGCGTATCGAGCCAGCGTTGCTCGGAACGTCCTTTGAAGCATTTTCCGAGCACCTAGAGCGGGATACCAGTCTTACAGACGGTGTCCGACTTTGCACGGAGTACATGGCCGTACCAGTAGAGACGAGATTCACGCTTTTCAGCTATGCGAGCTACGCCAATTTCTTGCGTATGTCATCGTTGCAGATTCGATCCATACGCGTGACACCGGCCGTCCAACGTAGCATTTTCATCTCCATCACACTAAGGCGGGCTTCGACTTGCAGGCCAGCACTCAGCCCCGTACAACGCTACTGGTCTGACCACAGTAGATCTTCGACTCGAGGTGCTCCGGTATC